CTTAAGATTGTGAAGTAAGTTACTTTCTCGGCTCATTTTGCATATGATCATTCGGCTGCCTGTGTGTTTCGAGACTGGTCCTTTAACGGTTGACGAAAATTAGCTTGTAATATTAAAAACCGACGTTTATACCCAACCGCGCCCTCAGTCCAGTGGGGATTGCATACTTATTGGCTGATCACTGCACTTAAAGTCAGACGACGGTAGTTGTGTAGTATCATACTAACGTGACTAACGCTGACGTGGCTGTGTGACGTGTGCGAATTAATCGACAAGCTGTCGCACGGTTCCTGCATTGTATAGCTTGCACTCTAGCACGATTATGTCCACTGGGTGCTACACCGTATGATTTACGCAGGGCGACGCCTTGTGTGCGAATTAAGTTATAGAAGTAGACGTGCTAAATCTGTCCACTCTCTTCTCCCTTATATCGGGTCCCAATGGCATTACCAAACCAAGCCAACCGGAGGCGGGCTCTTGAGTTGGTGAATACTCATACACACAACACTGGCTACGAAGTCCAAAGTATCCAGTCACTGAGAAGTCTGCGATGTTAAGTAATTAAGCGCATCAGGATAAACGAAAGCGACGCATAGTAATTATAGTGAGTATGGCACTGAAGTGTCGTGGGGCGGAGTTCCCCAGAGTCGACTTCATCTTCACTTTCCTCACCATATGACTGTTTAAGGTTTTTGGTCATCTAGTGCCGGGATTAGGTGTAGTGGTTGAAAGAGCTGTAACCGCTCCACCTGCTTGTGCCGCACAAAACCCTTTTTGGTGCCACTTTGGAAAAAAGACACTTGTTGTGTTCTTTCCGTCTGTCTCGTGTTGTTGGGCGGGTTCGGGGCGAATAAGCTGGTTTAACGAAGTGTATTATTGAAGTGTGAATTGGGCCGTTTTCCGCAGCTCTGCACAGTACCGCATGCCACCGATTAGTCCCGCGGATGGTTGAATGCCTGTGCTTAACGCGGACAGACAAGAAAGGGACGACGGTACGTCGTAGTGGTCCTTTATTGATTGAATAGTCTTAGTGCGATGGATTTGCAAGTGACCGACCATCCCGATTCCTGATATAAATGAGGTGTAGCAATATAGGCGAGATGGGTTGGTAATTGCTGCTGACGGTTGCGATGTTGGTGGTGAAGGAGACAGGTTTGTTGTATCGACCCCGCGGTTTATTCTGCCCCCATAGATGCAAACATAAAAGCGTAAATAAATGCATTTTTTCCCATTTGAGACAAATCACGATCAATCTGATAGTTCTGAATATAAATGTTTCTTGTTTACTGTGTCTGAATTGAAACGTCCTTGTTGATTATTTCTCCGAAACCTAGTTTCGAATGTGAGTATAACTCAGCTGGTGAGCCTTAAATGCAAATGTCAAGGACTTGACAACTAAAGGGAAAGGTCTTAAAGGTTTACTATAGTTGGCTAGCAGACCTGAATAACAGGCCGATATTTATTTTTAATAATACTCACGTTATCGATTTGTTTGCAACCTTGAAAACCATGGCTGGAGAAGTATGATACAATAATGTCGTCAGCGGTGCAAAATTACATAACATTGCTTTACTTTAGCTAAAAATTCCGTGTGTACGGGGAACTATAAGACAAATGATGCCCTTTGTCATACTGCGGTGTGCCGCAATTGCTGCTTAAAATTGAAAAAAAACGTCTGCTTATTTTTACAAAAATGTGTCTGACGCAATCACTCCCATTAATTTCATGTGGCTAATAGATTTTGTACGTAATACCTAGGCAATTAGTATAGTAAGTTACAGGAACCAAATTTCTTCGATAACAAGGTTTACAAGCTAACAATTTTCGCAAAAGCTCTAGACAATCCCAATTACTTTGTCGAGCACAAAAGATTACTCGGCATGGAGATATAAGGCATACTTGTCACTTCTGCAGTTCCCTCTGTAGGCTGTCTGCAGCCGCTCCATATCCGTTTACGACATCGTACGCATTCTTTAGCAAAAGTACCCTTTTTAAAATCAAAGGCTACCGTACCATTTTGTGTCAGAATCAGTTGTTAACATAGCAGTACATTCGTATTGAACTTATGCAAGTAAACAGCAATTCATACGGTGATGTGTCATTATCTGGGGTGATTTTTTTATTGAAGATACAAGAACTAGTTGAATATTTGTGACTAGCTGTCCGGCAGCACACGGGGTTGAGAACCATCGGCAACCGTACTAACAAGATCAGTTTATTTATAAAAATATATGTTTTCACGTGAATTAAAAGTAAAAGTGTGCGTTCTTCATAAACTCGGCGTTTCGACCAGCAGTTCCTTTGATAACTAAGTCGGTTGTTAAAGGCAGTATATGTCCGATGGCAAAAAATCTGCTTCAAACCAACGGTCGTCCCCGTCGTATAATTCGTTCTCTCCCCCAAGTATTTGAATAATTTAGATAATAAATGTTTACAGTTTTGCCTAATAAAAGGTTGTAATGAGGTGGATTAAATAAGTGAATAAAGGGTTAGTTTGACCTTAGGTATATTGCCCTACTGTCCGGCACATTATTGTAACTAATTATTCATAGAAACGAATGAACTGTGTCCTCGCTATTTCATGCTAAATCCTTTCTCAGTATAACAGATTACGGAAGTGCTCCTAGCATTGTCACTCTATTTGACCCCGTTGTTCTTGCTATTTAAAAAGAATACTCTACTGTTTTTAGCTAGGCACGACCGACAAAGCATCAGCTGGTATAGTACTTGAGTGTAAAGTTGAAGAAAAATGGCTGGCTTTGGCATTGCCGTTGGAACGTTTACAAGAGATCTGGCGTATCGGAAACTTCGGGCAGGACGTCAAGTGGCTTCATTTTCTCTCCCTTGCGGCAACCCAAATTGCACCGGTAACTAAAAGTCTTATCCGTTACTCTTGAGCCTAAATTAAATGCACGCATATTTTTTAATCGGAACATGCTGCTGAAATTCCTTTACTTGCCTTCAGTCTTTGGCTCAGACACTCTGCCTTCTGTGCGAACTCCTGACAGATGAAAAAGATAACGCGTCGCCGCCCATTTCCTTTGACCTGTTCTGCGAAATCTACCGCTATCTGGGGTCAGTTGATCCCAACTTGCCAAGTGAACACATTGAACAAATTATTCTAAATCTTACTTTCGAGGCGTAAGTCCAAAACCTTTACATCTTTATTTGCGTAATTTTGGTTTTTGTAGATATCATTCTTAAAGAAATAAGTGAAATTTTTCTAAATATAACTGTATTCGGTATAGTTACGTGTCAAGTATAAGCATTTACATGGTCTAAAGGACTTGGCAGAAAAGATGAGGGGCAAAGCAATATGCCTTGTTGATTCTACTGTTGTTGTAGGTCAACTTTACTCAAATGTTGGTCTGAGATCCACCCTTCAGGTTCGTAGTAAATTACTCGACAAGTTTTAATACAGATATTGACTTACGACACGACGCATGAGGTTTTGAATTGGCGTTGGCTGATATGTCATGCAAAACACAGTCACAAGTCCATGTCTAATTTCCTGAAGAAGATTTCACTGTTCTTGGAATAAGCGTTCGATTTTAATTTCGAACTTATAAACAAAAGGTGATTTATCCCTCTGTAACTTCATCACCCTTCTAGCGTTTGTGAATTAGGCCTTGAGCTTTAAATATAGTGATACATAGACGTATATTTTGCAAATGGGCTGTAGCTGGACCCAGCTCAAAAATCCATGCAACATCGACTAAAACGCGTAAAAGTTTCCTCAAAAATAGGGGTGTTCTTAAATGGCTTTACATAAAGCCAAGAAAGAGCAAAGCAGTTATTATTTACATTCACCTCAACCAACTCTGCCTATCTCCATCAGAAAAACTATTGATTGCTACAGTAAGCATTAGTCATCCGCTTCCGTAGTTTTTTTCAAAATTTAATCTGACATAGAACAGCTGACAAGATATTTGTATTTTCGATGAAAATCAAATCGCGTGTTATCTAAATCGTCTTCTGTCTACCAAAGATTGATGCTATGTATATTCTACGGGTTACTCGTGGTTTAAGGTGAGTCATAGTGTGTCTGGCATCCTCGTTACGGTGGATGGTCGACGGCTATAGTCACAAGTGATCGAGTGCTGATGGATGATTTTAGGACTGTA